AATTCTGTTAAAGCTGAGCTTTTACGAGACTCTTTTCATGCTTTCTTGCATGGTCTTATAGAGATGTTCACTAAGACCTGAATGTTTAACGTCCTTTAACAGGTACTTAGGAATGATACCAATGGTAGAGAAAATTATAGGTATAGTTTGAGTACTTTCCATCTTTTCGTTGGATTTAACACACAGATTATTAATGTTAAGTATTGCTATGTCTATAATTATTGTTGTTTGCCTAGTTAGTTTATCAACTAGTATGAGGTCAATAAATCAGCATATGCAAATATTCCAATGTATGAGATTCTACGACATAATTGGCTAGGATTTTAAAATTCACAATTTGTAATAAATCTAAATCAGAGGTTACATTAAGAACATTTAATCTTATGTAAATATTTGTCTTCCAGAATATTGTTAACATAATTTCATAATTATAAAACGTGCCAATACATAAGATATGTAGATTACTTTTATAAGATATAATAATAAACAACAAAACTAAATTATTTTTTTAATGTGAATTATTATTGTGACAATTCAATGGCCTTAAATATGTTGGTACTAATGAATTAGTTCCATTTTCGTACTTAATTAAATGCTTTTAAAAAACTGAAATATTGAAAAATAGAGTAGTTTAGACCAGTTTCAGTTGCATTTCAAATAAGTGAAAATATGATAGTAATATTAAGGTACAGTAAAAGCTCTTTATTCGCGCTTCTTTTATTCGCGATTTCACTATTCGCAGATTAAAAAATGAGGAAAAATTCCTATATTCGCGGCCTTACATTTTCTTTATTCGCAGATCCAACTGGTACATGTATGTAACTTTTTATTCTTAATCATTAAAATCAACTCATAAATCGCATAAAACCATAGGCAGATATATATTAGGTAAAAAACTTATCAGGTACCTGGATACCTTAAAAATTCTGTGAAAAACTTACTTCCCCGAGCTAATACTATATAAACGTGGGTAGATATGGACGAGGAGTTGACGAAATACCAGCAGATTTCTATAAGGTAGGTCAAATCCACGCGCTCATCAAAGACATATGGCAAGAAGAGAAAATATCCGACGACTGGAAGCGAAGTATAGTATGCCCGATCTATAAAAAAGGAGACAAACTCCAGTGCAGAAACTACCGTCGAATTTCTCTACTATGTACAGCAAATAAAGTCCTCATGGGAACATGACATTGATGTTCACAACGTGTTTGTAGATATCAAACAGGTATACGACTCAGTCAAAAGGAACAAACTCTATAATATATTGGCTGAATTGGCAATACCACACAAGCTAATTCGGCTCATTAAAGCCAGAATGGATGAAACTCAGGCATGTGTACGAATACAAAACCGCCAGACAGACTTTTTCAAAATTTCGCAGGGACTAAAGCAGGGAGATAGGCTGGCCCCCAACTTTGTTTAACCATGGAAATACTAGGTCTGGAAATTACCAAGGGAAAAAAACAAAAAATAATGATACAGACAAGAAGAAATAGTCCCACAAAACATTATACATGAAGATGACATTGAAATGGTTGGAAAGTTTACATACCTGGGAGTAGAAATATGTCGACGATGCCGACGGATCAGAAGATGTAAAAATACGGAAGAGAATAACGCATGTAAACACAACTTATTTTGCCCTCTTTCATATATTTCGGTCTAAAAATGTCCACCGAAATACAAAGATGAGAATCTTAAAACCTTAATTCGACCAATAGATGATATGACAGTGAAGCATTGGTCCTGAAAGAAACATCCAAAAGCAAAGTCGACACATTCGAAAGGAAAGTACTGAGGAGAATGCTAGGACCTGTGAGGGAAAACGGAATCTTCATAATTGCAATGGGCCGGACATGTGATAAGAATGGGAGAGGATAGGCTACCAAACAGAGCACTAAGTGGTAGCATACAGGGAAAGAGGACCAGTTGGAAAGCCAAAAAAGCGCTGGAAAAACACAGTAAACAGCGATGCACAAGCCCTTTTAGGAGTCCGTGTATGGAGAAGATCGGCCACAGACAAGCAAGGGTGTATACAAAAAATAAAGGAGGCCAAAGCTCAATTTAGACTGTAGTGCCATAGAAGAAGAGCGAAAGATCTGGTGACAGAAGCACACACATTCGAAGAAGTCTCGGAGTTTATATATCTTAGAACACAACTAAATAACAGCAACCTAGTAAGCGTAGAAATTAAGAGAAATACCTGGCGAACAGAGTTTACTTTGGACTAAAGCAGTTCTTAACATCACACATAATTAGCAGAAAAACCAAGATACTTATATATGAAACTCTTATTAAACCTGTCCTGACATACGTGTCAGAGACATGGACTATGATAAAAAGCGACGAAGAACTGTTAGGCCGCTTTGAAAGACGAATACTTAGACACATATACGAAGGAGTACAAGAAAGCGGGATATGGCGCAGGTGCTACAATTTTGAGTTGTATCAATGCTATAAAAAATGCAACATCATCTATTAAAATTAATAGACTAAGGTGGCTAGGGCACCTTGAAAGAATGGACACTGGAGACCCCCAAAGACAGATACTATATCAAGAGCCAGTAGGAACCAGGAAGAGAGGCAGGCCAAGATCTAGATTCAAAACTCAAGTCGAAGATGACTTGAGGAATCTAGGGGTCAGAAATTGGAAAGCCAAGGCGAAAGATAGGGGAATGGAGACTAATTCTTGAACACGCCAAGACCCACCCAGGGTTGTAGAGCCAAAGATGATAATGATGATAGTGTAATAGAAGAAGAAGAAGGTAGATATGGAAGAATATAAAAAAATAATACTGGTACAGATGAGGAAGAAATTATTTAAGGATGATGTAAAGAAATAAACTAGAAACTCTACATAAATGATAATTATCTATAGAACTGGAAAGATGTGTTACAAAAAACCAACAATAATATATTGTTCTGAAGCTATTTTCTTGTGGCATTGTGAATTAATTACTATTAAACTGGGAATAAGCCACAATTAAAGATAAAAATACGTTTATTGACGTTTCAATTTCCACTTCGGAAATCGTTCTCAAAATACAAACAGTAAATTAAACAAATTTTGTTTTTTGTTACATAGTGAAAAATTCTTCTAATAATTTAATTTTATCTGACTCATTTATATTGACAATTCAGACATACATTATGCATTTTAAAGTAGACGACTTTAAAATGATATTGCCAATATTGTTGAGTTGCGCTCCTGGGACGACTTTACTTATAAGATAGTTCATTCGATTACATGAAATCAACTTTAACTTGAGAATATCCGTCAGAAAAAAATCATAGCATGTAATTCGTCTTTAAAAAGACAAACACATGACATGATGACAGTAAAATTCTCCTGTTAGTGATTCCATAGTAAATTATGAGGGAAAAACCAGGAAAAAAACCTCATAATACTATCCCGACATTGTAAGTATTTGTTCGTGAATTTAGTTTACCTTCAACAAACATCAAAATTCTGATTTTATATGTTACGTTATTTAAAAAAACATAAATGATGTATCCTCTATATGTTACTGACTTACTAATACTGGTATTTTCTTATTAATAACTTCCTCTTTCAATATTGGTAACCAGATCCTACTACATTCTGCCGAGGAATTTGCGACACAATTGGCCCATTTAGCATAATTAGAGCCGCTTCTTTGATTTTTCTTTTTTTACCATCCGGTTCTTTTAGGACTACATTTGAATTATTCCATTGAACCCTATGTTCATTATCCCATGCATGTGTTTACAGATTTGAGATCTATCAAATTCTCTATTTTTAATATAAGATTGATGTTCACTTATTCTAACATTTAATGGCCTTGATGATTCACCTAAATAAAACTGATCGCATTCACAAGGTATTTTATAAATGCAATTCTTTGTCAGTTTTATTTAGGTGAATCATCAAGGCCATTAAATGTTAGAATAAGTGAACATCAATCCTATATTAAAAATAGAGAATTTGATAGATCTCAAATCCGTAAAACACACATGGGATAATGAACATAGGGTTCAATGGAATAATTCAAATGTAGTCCTAAAAGAACCGGATGGTAAAAAAAGAAAAATCAAAGAAGCGGCTCTAATTATGCTAAATGAAGCCAATTGTGTCGCAAATTCCTCGGCAGAATGTAGTAGGATCTGGTTACCAATATTGAAAGAGGAAGTTATTAATAAGAAAATACCAGTATTAGTAAGTCAGTAACATATAGAGGATACATCATTTATGTTTTTTTAAATAACGTAACATATAAAATCAGAATTTTGATGTTTGTTGAAGGTAAACTAAATTCGCGAACAAATACTTACAATGTTGGGATAGTATTATGAGGTTTTTTTTTCCTGGTTTTTCCCTCATAATTTACTATGGAATCACTAACAGGAGAATTTTACTGTCATCATGTCATGTGTTTGTCTTTTTAAAGACGAATTACATGCTATGATTTTTTCTGACGGATATTCTCAAGTTAAAGTTGATTTCATGTAATCGAATGAACTATCTTATAAGTAAAGTCGTCCCAGGAGCGCAACTCAACAATATTGGCAATATCATTTTAAAGTCCTCTACTTTAAAATTCATAATGTATGTCTGAATTGTCAATATAAATGAGTCAGATAAAATTAAATTATTAGAAGAATTTTTCACTATGTAACAAAAAACAAAATTTGTTTAATTTACTGTTTGTATTTTGAGAACGATTTCCACGAAGTGGAAATTGAAACGTCAATAAACGTATTTTTATCTTTAATTGTGGCTTATTCCCAGTTTAATAGTAATTAATTCAACAATAATATATTTGAATTTTGAAAAAAAAAGAAAAAATTATGTATAATATAATATCATATCATATCATATATAATCATCTAAATAATTAATAGAAAGAATACCTATAAATGAAAATATCTTACGAAACTTGGTATATGAGATGTAAAAAATATCTAACAATAATGTAGCAGAATTAAATGGTTAAGTTTTTTTTTAAGTTTTTACTAACCGAATATTTTGGTGTCATTTGTCCTAAATACTTTTTCATTATTGGTCGGTAATTCAAACTTTTGTATTTGTTCGAATTTTTCTGAAACGAATTCGTAAAATGGTTCCAGCTCCAGCGCCCCACATGTCAACAAAAACGTAAAAATCACTAGCAGCTTTGCGCGGTACATCGTCGTTTCAAATAATAAAAACTTTTTATTTGAATTAAAAATCTATATTATATATACGAGTTAGAAATTAGTGTTGTGCGAAGAAACCATAGGCGGAGTAATGTTTACTATAATAGTATATTAGTAGAATCAAAAAACGAGACAAAATTTTAAAACCTCTATTTTATTTGTTTCTAAATAGGAAGCCTGTTTTATTATACTAATATTTTTATTGAAAGTGAACTACAGTAAAACCTCCCTTAACCGAAACCTTTTAACCCGAAACATCGTTTAACCGAAACGGCTGACAGTTTAAATAATTTCGGCAACAAAAAGTAATATTTTATCGCAAAATGTAAACAATTCCATTAATTTCACTTACCGATTGATGCCTATGTGTGCTGGGAAATCAAAACAACCAAAAGCTCTAAAATATATTTGAGAAAAAAGCACTTCCAGTTTTTTATAGAAGCCAAAAATGCTTATGGATGTCGACCACTTTATTTTCAGAATGGTTAGAAAATGAATTCGTCCCAAGTGTAAAATCCTTTTTAAAATAAAAAAAAAACTTTCCATCAAAGCATTGTTGCTTGTTGACAATGCACCAACCACCCTCAAAATCTATGCAATAGTGATAATTGTCAGATTTTGCCACCGAATGTCACGAGATTAATTCAGCTGTTAGACCTGGGAGTAATAGAGACATTCGAGAGACATTATAGAGGAGCATTCTTAAGACATCTGTTATTACAGGGGACGAATGAATCCAAAAGTGTTCCTGAAATCCTCAATTGTTCAACAATGAAACATGTTGTTTATCGTGTGCTGAGTTCTGGGCCAAGATCAAATCTTCAACTTTGGAAAAATGCTGGAACTAACTTTTTGATAGGATTTTGATCGACGATCCTGAAGAAGAAACTGGTAAAGAAACGACAGAAGAAATTAAACCTTTAATAAAAAAATTTGTCGGGATGTGACGAAATTAACTAAGAAGAGATACGTGAGTGGTTAGCAGCCGATGACTCAGAAAGTGAATTCATCGACCAGGTCATCATTGATATGGTTCTTCATTCAGACAACCTGAGCGTATCAGACGACGAAGATGACGACCTAACAGACAACAGGTAGCATGAGACCGCCGATGAGATTTCAATGCCTTAAGGAAAAGAATTTTATACAGTAGGCCTAATTAATTAGGTACACGAGTAGACGAGTAGGTTCTTAATTTTTGTTGTCATTGTATAAAGTTTTATCCTTTTCAGATTGCTTTACGTTTCGTCGAACGATGAAATGAGGCAAACTCACGACGTTCTGCAAATTAACGATAGAGATATATAGCTGCAAAACATCGTTGTCAAACATCAACTGCTTAAAGTAAATCTTTGCCTTTTAAAGCACTTGGTCTAAGAGGTTAATTTATTAAGAGCGGTTTCAACATCCTATCTCCTGATGTATTTCTACAAAGTATGTAATAATGTTACTTAATCTATACTTGCTTTATGTTCACTTGCAGTTTTTTTATTCTTTACAATGTAAGTATGGTTAGGCATTTTTTTCAATACAGTCCCGTTTCATCAGCGTTAAATACTTGATCGACACAATAGTCCCCATTTTCAATCATTTTCGCTAGCTCCTGCAGAAATATTTTTGCTGATGCTTTATCTGGTGTAGCATTCAAGAAAATCATCAAATCACTACTTATGTGATAAATTCCAAAACATCTATTATAACGAAAATAACATTTGAGAAAGAAAACCCTCCTAACAAATGATTATCCATTGTGATTTATAGATAAGCAATTTTACTTTTCAATATTACTGAAAACCCATAGATAATCTTTTAAAACGATATTTTTTAAAGTTATTTTTGGTAATTTGTTACTTAATTATTGCAAATATAGCAACAAACGGCTGTCTAACGTGCGGCCTAATCCTAGTATCTTTCTACGAGTCCATAAATCGTAGTGGTCAACGGGTTGTATTCATAATATCCGAGACGAGTTGATGTAGGACCACTTTGTTTTTGTTCAACATAACCTCTTCAGGAGCTTTTGCATGTTCTATACGACCAGTCCCAATCGGAACATGCGCCTATGAAACGTGTGTGTAACTGGAAATGGGTGGTAAAGGAGTAGGCTTCTCGACGGAAATCTGTCAAGCGTGCTTGGTGATCCATTATCCCACCAGCATGCAACTGTTCGCCCTCTCATGGATCACAGGCAGCGTACTTACGACAATACAGGTACTGCGCGGAGGGTGGATCCCCACGTTAGGGCAATCATGCCACCCTCACTGGAGACAGACTCGCAGGTGCATTGGTTCTACCATAATAAGATAGACTTCCTCTCGGGAG